CCCCAAAACCCCAAAACCCCAAAACCCCAGAGCTAAGAGCCATAAAATATGTGGATGCAATCTAATTTATATATTATTAATTAAACATGAACATATCAAAGTTATTGTAATTCAGACATTCTAGCAATAAACTTAGATATCTTGACTTTAGTCAAATACTAAGTAGATCAACTATGAATTTTAACAGCTTTCGATATTAGAAGTTTACAACAACGAACAAAGGTTAAAGTTAGTCAGTAATATCACAGTAGAAGCTTGCTGAGATTATATTAAAAAATAAGATAGAAAGAGAATAAAAGGCTTAAATAATGTAGGCCACAGAATCTATATAAGAAGATAGCCACTCAAAAACTAAAGAATAATAAACTAAAAATTAAATAAACTATCATAAAAACAAGGCAAGCTAATCCAATTAAAATTTAGGAGTAGAAGTACCATTGAAAGGTTAAAACAATATGATTAAAGTCGATTAATTGGGTGAGATTATAGTGAATCAACATGAGTTCAATAGAGAGGCAAGTAAATAGTATTTTAATAAAACTAAAGAAAATAAACAGAAATAAAGAGAAGAGGAGTCTATCAAAAATAAGGCAGAAGCTAAGAAATTAAAGCAAATTGATTTTAATGTCATTACTAAAAAATTAGAAGAATACGAAACTAAGATAAGTGCTCCAATCTTAAATAAATCAGTTAAAACTGGAAAATCTATTGAGGTTGGAGAAAGCAAAGTGAAATCCCTAGTTGACTCCTCTTAGAAATAGGAAGTAGAATTAAATGCTCCAAAAAAGAAGGGGAGACCTAAGAAAATTGTAATTGAAGAAACTATTCCAAAAGAAAAAACGACAATAAATAATGATAAAGTTATAGAGACAAACGATTAGGAGGCTTAAAAAATAAAAAATAAAAGAGGAAGACCTTAGAAAGTAATATAAGAAGATTCAGTATAATCTTAAAAAGTAGATGAATCTAAAAAGAAAGATAATAAACTTACTAGAAATTAGACTAAGAGTCCTGATATATCCAAGTCAATATCAAATTCTACACAGAAACTATCTAAATCTAAATCAGATAGACCTAAGATAGTCTAAAAGCTTTAATAATTTTAAGAAGATGATAAAATTAAGTTATCTGATGAACTTAGAAATGTTGATAAAACGCTTCTGAATGAGCAAGATTTAATTGATTTAGAGGAGTTAAAAGCTCTAGAAAGGCTTGCTGGGATTAGAGAAAAATCAGGATATGATGAAAAGATGGATGAGATGACATCACTGATGGAGGACAAAAGCTTTTTATGTGATGAAGAGATTAGGTAATTAGAATTGATATAGAAAGAGAAATAGATGAGTGATAGAGAAAAAAGATAAGAATACATGATGAATAAATAACAGAATAGGCAAGATCAAACACAAGATGAAATGAGTTTGGATCATGAATAAAAAAACAAAAATGCCTTATCAGAGTCGGAATACCTTTCAATATTTTAAATTCCAGGAACAAGCAGTCTGCGAATCGATTTAAAAATGCCAGCTTTTGATTTTGAGAAACTAAAGGGTGGGAAATAAATATTCAGCTTGGTATTTGAATACGAAGCACTCTTAAAGATTAGGAAATTGTTTTAAGACTACGAGCAGATTAGGGCTTACACAGACGGAAGTTCAATTAAGAATCCTGGAAGAGTACATTATCATTTTTTAACATTGATACATTTAGAGTGGTAGCAGTTGTGTGTTCATGGGTATAAAGAAAATATCTGAAGAGGAAAAAAGTATCATAGAATACGCTAATCAAGTATCAGGAGATTCAAGTCATAGTATTCATCCATATTCCAACTAAAACCAACTCAACGATAATCTCTAGTTTATGTTCGGACTGTCTCTATTCTTAGGCGAGACATCAAACAACTATGCTGAGTATATGGGAGTCATTATGGCTTAGCTTCTATTTTCGATGTTTTAGTTTACAGAGATTTAGATTCTAACAGATTCAGAATTAATTGTAAATTAGGTTAAAGGAGTTTCAAGAACAGCCAATGTTCGCTTGGTAGAATTACTTAAAATCGTAAGCATACTTATATTATGTAAACAAGCATTTAATAGGTTCATTCATTAGCTTTCAAATTCGAATCAGTATGCTTAGACTATGTCAGAAGAGAGGAAAATATAATAGCTGATGCACTTGCTAAAGATGCCTCTTCACTTGCAGTGGGGGGAGAATAACATTTTAAAATATACTTTAGACTTGAGTAGGTGATGGCTAATGTTCAATTGAAAAATTGGTGATTCTGCTCTTGAATGTGATATAGATGTGATCATGATTATGAAGAATGATTACTTAATTAGTATTAAATTATAAAGTGGAGAATATTGATATCTTTACTAATCGTTGATAACTGTTGATTACTACATTATTTAGGCTTGTGGGGTTTTGGGGTTTTGGGGTTTTGGGGTTTTGGGGTTTTGGGGTTTTGG